TGTTGTTGATCGTCACCTAAAATCTTTCCAGTATTTAATAAATTCTTTTGAAGTATTTCTTTCTCGATCAATTTTTTGTGGGGACTTGGATGGATATTTTTATTTTGAAGAAATTTTACGCTTTTTTCTTCCCTCGCTGATTTTCTTTATTTTTTCTCCCTTTGTGTCCACTTTTATTGTCCACAAAAACCTTAACACTACACATTTATTTATCTAAAAATTAAAGGAAAAATAATTCTTTTTATATTTTTATATCAAAAAATGCCTTTGGATCTAGTCAAACCAGATAATGAGCAATTAATTCCAGGTAGTTTAGGAAAATTTTTTTATTTAGAATAAATATTTAAAGAATTATTGGCCGCTCTTAAACCAAAAAGTTGTAAATTAGTTCCAGCACCCGATTTAAATTCGGCGTCTTTCAATTTAGAAACAGCTCGGTTTGGACAGCAAATTTATATTGGTTAAAAATATGTAACTAATATAAATTTAAATTTATTATTTTTTAGTGTCAGATTCTTTTAACTTTGAAGATGCAAAAAAACAAATAACAGGAAATGCTCAATTACTTGCAACTAAAGATGTATAACAAATATTTACTTTAATTAATTTTAAATTAAAGATAAAACTAAAATAATTTGTCTGGCCAAACATCCTCAATAATTTTAATCTCTTAATTTCCACCTCAATTACCCTTTCTCTTCCTCTCTCTTTTCAAATACCCTCCTCCAATCCCCCCCCCCCCCCCCCAATACATATAATTTTTAAATATTTCTTAAAGGGTTATCATATATTTACTGATGGTAGACCTGCAATAGAAGTAATATATCTTTGCTTAATTGATATAATTGAATGGAAATTACCTGTAAAATTATTATTAAATAAACTTCTTGGAAATGAAAATTGGGAAATGGTTTATGCTGAAAAATGTTCTTCCTTTTCTGAATGTAAAAGTCCAGCAACTACAGATTTTGGACTTTTAAGAGTGCAAAAATTGGAGGAAAATATTAATGATGATGAGAAAGAATTAAAAAATAAAGAGAAAAAACAAGTTGAGGTAATTAATTAAATCATAACAATTTTATTCTCACAATTTCCCCCTCAATACTTGGATATAGCGGAATTAATTAAATAATTAGTATTGTTTTTAGGGGAAATGTTAAATAGAAATCGGATAATTGGAGGGAATAATTGGCGGAAGGGTTTTTAAAATAAGAGCAAATTAGATAGTATATGTATGCTAGGGAGAAGAAAAAACCCGGGAAAGCGTCGGGTCGGAAAATGACCTCGGGATTGGGAGGCCAAGAATTCGGAAAGATTTCCCGATTCGGGAGTCGGAATACCAGAGCATCACTCTTTTGGCTCAAAAGTTTTACTTTAATAATTTTTTAAATACTTCCAAAAAAATTCCACAAATAAATAATTTACCTAAATATATTTTTAAAAGGTTTGGTTAACTCCAGTAAATCAGTGTATACCTAAAAAAGTAAAGAAAAAAGTTTTACGCAAAGTTCCTAAAAAGTCAGTCAAGAATGGATTAATTATACAAAATGATTTAAAAAATAATTACGAAAGTAATAGTAGTGAAAGTAGAGAACAAACACCTTCACAAACAACAACTAGTGAAGAAATATCCACTATTTCTAATAATGGAAATAATAATGAAATAAATGGAGGTAATTTATTAATTTAATAAAATTTTTGAATTAATTAAAAATTGCGGTTTATTCTCATTATTTTATTGAAATAAGAATTTTGATAAAAATAAACAAATTGAATGTCTCTATGGCATTTAAATTTATTGGCTCCATAATTTTTTTAAATTGACACTTGCTTAAAATATTTTTTAAAGATTCAAAATTTTCAATTCAAAATGGAAAAAAAGAAAATTTAACTAATGGAAATGTTGGCCGTATAGCTAATAAATTTAATGGAATGGCTAGTGGAGAACAACAAAATAATTTAAATAATTATTCATCTTCTTCCTCAATTAATCAGCGTTCTAGAAGTCATTCTTTGGAAGAAAAAGAACAAAATGAAAATGTTAAAACAAATTCGTCTGCTGAAAATAGGCGTTATAGCAATCCAACAAATATATTAAATGTTCGAATTTTTTCCTAAAAAATATTTTTATTTAAAGAAAAATAATAATATTTTTCTAAATTTTGAATAATGAATTAAGTGAAAACAAAAATTTTAGGTCTTTCTCTAGTAATTTTCTTTAGTTTAAATAAATTATATTTAAAAAATGAATATTAAAAGTATTTTTTGTTTTGTTAAAAAATCATTAGCTTTTGAAATTGCAAAGGAATTAACGGTTTATACCTAATAATAATATTATACTTAATTAATTTATACTTAAAAAGATAAATATTAAAAAATTATTATCTTTTCTTTTTTAGGAAGATTATTCACAACAAAAATTGGTAGATCAGCAACCAATTTATCTTGAAATACCTGTTCAATTAAGTTTATCTCCTACACAGCCAAAAGAAAATGAAGATAATAATCAAAATAATTTATCAGAAAATATTTTGACAAACAATGGAGAGGGTAATTAATTGAAATTATTTTATAAAAATTCTCCCTCTTATTTCTACCCCCTCCTTCCATTTTTCTCTTTTTTCTATTCTAAAAATAATTTTTTGAAGATCTTTCTCATCGACGTGCTTCCTTAACTGAATCACCACCACCTCGCTCTACCGCAGATAGTGATTCCCCCAATAGTTTATCTTATGTCTCAGCACATGCCGATATAATACCTTCTTCTAATCGACGTCCATGGCGAAGAGAGGACGCCCCATCGCCTTCAACATCCCTTATATTACAAAATACTAGAAGAAATGTTGCCTCCATAACTCCTACAAATCAAATTATAAATGGCCCTGTTCATAGACTTGTTACACCTTTAGGCAGCAATTTATCGCCGATTAGCAGTTGTGGAAGTGTGGAAGGACAACAAGTAAAAATTTTATTTAAAATGTGCCCGGCAGGTCTTCTTTATATGAGGACGGAAGATTCTTTATAAAGGGAATTTCTCTTGTTTCAAGAAACGTAAACTCTTTACAACGAGAACACACAACCCCGTCCACATATCATTTACTCCTTTAGGGTATTGTTCCCATACTAAAGACACACTTCTTTCTCCATCCTTTCTTAAATCTTTTTATTTTTCTCAGGACTTTGATAAAGCCAGTAATAATAAAAATACAATCAGTTGCACTGATTCTCGTAGTTATTACGATGATGAAGAAGATGAGGATGAAAGTACTTTAATGCTATTAAATAAAGAACGTAGAGGTGCTAGTGCTGATGATGGAGATGAATTAACTATAATGTCTTCAATTAGAGAAGATCTTTCTTTACGTGATAATTATCATTCAAATATTACAAGAAATCATCAACATTTAAATGGAAATAATACTAGAATAATTAGAGGAAGACATGGAAAACATAATAATTTTAATAATATTGGACATTCACCTAGTCCTCCACTAAGAAATGTTTTTTTATAAAATTATTTTTTTTCCTAATTTTTAATTTTAGTCAGCTCTAAGTCGAAGTGTTGGCAGTCGGGGGGCTTTAAGTCGTAGTCCTTCTGCTGCTGCCTCTCATAATCTTCAAATGGTTCGGGGTATGTTAGGCACTTTTAGAATGCCTGTTCCTGCTTTACAACAAATACTTGGATTATTTTCATTTAAAGAGGTGTTTTTAAAAAAATATTTAAAATAATAATTAAAAAAAGATTGGAATACTTCGACGTGTTCACCCTCATTGGGATGAACTTGCCGGACAATTATTAAATGTGGCACATTTTCGATTAATTCAAAGAGCCCAACATTTATTAACTGATTGTCAACGACGAGTTATGAGAGAGCCTAGAATGGCTCAACCAGTTAAATTACTTACTAGATTACATGTCCACGCATTAAATCCTGTTGATGGAATGCGTGCTTTTATGGATGAAGGTAATTAATATATGTATTTTGATAGTTTTTTAAGACTCGTCCTTGGACGGGTTAATAAAACAAAAAAATCTGTAAAAAGTTGAGTTTGAAAAAATCCTAAAAAACTTTTTAGTTTTATTTTTACTATAATTTTTTTTAATTTTCTTAAAAAGGTGTTTTATGTTTTCCTTATGGTGCTTTTCTTGATCAAGCATTTTCTTTACTTTCTCGAATAGATTTAATGATTGAAAATAATTATTTTGATGAAGAAAAACAAGAAAAAGAATATAATGAAGTTAATTTTTAATTTTTAAAAATTTTTTTAAATAAATGTTTATTCGTAAAGGCAGATAATTTAATGGATAAATTAGCAGAAATTACAAAAAAGGCCGTTTTGCATTACAAACAATGGGTTGAACCTGAAGCTGAGAAAAGAATGAGCGAACTTTATAGAGTATCGGCACAACAACGTTTACAGAGAATTGACTCTTTTTTGGTTGAAAGTAGCGTTAGTAGAGTTGAAAGGGAAGCAGAAAAAGTAAAAATTAAATGAAAAAAGAAAATTATTTTTTAATTTTTAAAGAATCGAAATGAAATGAGTTGGGAAATGGAGCAATTAAAACAACAAAATACTCAATTAAAAAAAGAATCTAGGGATTTACGGCAATTATGTCAACGTTTAGACCAAAGAGTTGATGTTTTGGAAAGAAAATTTAAAACAATGGCTAGATTGTTACAATAAATAAATGAGGAGAAAAGAAAAAGAAATTTTGCTCAAAAATAAAAATATTCTGCTACTATTTTTTAAAATTTTTTAAAATTAATTAATATATTTTAATATTTTCCCCCTAATAATTTTGTTATTTTTTAAAAATAAATTGTAAGATATTTAATTATTTTTTGAAATTTATTTTTTTAATAAAAGGTTTAGTAAAGCCTTTTTGATAAAAATTGTTTTTGAATTTTTGAAATAAATAAAGTTTTGGTAGGCAAAATAAAATAAAAAACAATTTAAAAATTAAATACTAATCTACTAAATATTCTCTATTTTTTTATCTAAACTTGTTGTGGCATATTTGTTGGTGGAGCTTTTGGGTGAGGCATAAGCATTTGAACTAAATTTACATATGTTTGTTGTGCTGGTTGTAATTGCTCTTCTTTAAATTAAAAATTAATTTATTTTTTATTTAATTACCTTCTTTCCAATGCCTTCTAGCCACCATCGCTGCATGCCCTTGACATTTAAACTTTTTTCCTTGAGTGCAACCTCTTCTTGTATTTGTTCTGGTAATAGCAAAAAGACCTAAAGCCATTAATAAAAAAGCAACTCCACATGCGCCAAAAACGGCCCTTTAAAATTTTTGTAAATTTAATTTTTAATATTTTTTGGGGATTTTTTGAACTGAATAGAGAAATAAATAAATTCGGAATATTAATTTCGAATCAGAGTATTAATGAAATAAACTTTAAGGGGCTTAAATAATTTCAAAAAAATAATTTAAAAGAAAAACAAACCAAGCCCATAAAGGTATATGACTTCGAGTTGTTGTTACTTGATTATAATTTATTTGTTGTTTATTAATTATTAATTTATTATTATTATCTACAACTAAATTATTTTTTTCTACTAATAAAATTCCAATATTTTCAATTAAATTAGATAAAATTCTGAATGGAGGTTTTGAACTTGTTAATAATTGAATATTTGTTTGGTTAATTAATTGATTTATTTTATTAATTCCCAAACGTTGTTTAATTAAAGAACCAGCAGAAACAAAAATAATCTTGAGGGAAAAAATAATTTTTAAATAATTAAAAAAATAATTACAGGTGGAATTTGTACAAAAAGTATAACAATATCTTCTCCACAATTACCCATTCCCCAACGTTCACGAAGAATATTTACAAAATTATTTCCATAATTATTAATCCATAAATTGATATTGCTTAAATAAATTTTTAATTTAATTTTTATTTTTTAGAGATGCGCGAAAACGAAAACTTTCGTAAGACTCGAGACCTTAACTTGACCCAAAATTATAGGGAATTAACAAAACCCATAGAGTAAATATTTCCGCGGAAAATCTTTTAATCTTTAGGCTCCAAAATTTTAGCAATTCCAATGCTTAAGGAATTTTAATTTTCAACGCACTTCTCTAATATTTTTTAAAACTTACTCTTCCCAATTTAACGGCAATTTAAATAAATTTTCATTATTTTCCTCAAAATCTTTTGTATTATTTTTAGTAGATTTTTCCAAACATTGATTGGCACTTAAATATAATAATTAAATACTAATTTCTTTTTTTTTAATTTACTTGTTAACATCATTATTTAAATTTAATTTTTTTAAAAATCCAAATCCAAAACGATGCCAACAATAATTATTTTCACTTTTTATTTCATCCAAATTAGAAAAAGTTAAATCTTCTTCTTTACTACAAACACAATTTTTGCCATAAATGTTTATTAATTTATTTATTGTTTCTTCTAATGCAAAAACTTTAAAATAAAATAAAAATATTTTCTTTTGTTAAAATCTCACACAAAAAACCTTCACTCATCGAAATACTCGATTCTGGATCACAAAACCAATCAAAATTATTTAAAAATATTTTTTGTTCTTTTTGTTTTTGTTCTTCATCTTCTTCTTCAATTAGTATTCCTCCTTTATCTTTTAAACTCTGCCCCCGTTGACATCCAAGTCTATCATTTAATAAAGGAAAATCACAAACAGAATTAAATGAAAATAATGATGAAATTGTAATTGTTAAAAATAAAATAATTAAATAAAATAATTTAATTATTGAAAATATCATGAAGATTTTTAAATAACTAAAAATATAAAAAAATAATAATTTTAAAAATATGGTAGATTAAAGATAATAAATAAAAAAGAAGTTTTTCATCTTTCAATCTTTTGCATTTCTTTGGCAAAAAATGCAAGATGTCTCAAATAATTTAATAAGAGTTTCAAGACAAAATTATGTTAAGTAAATAATTCGTTGGGTGGGAGGTGGATTAGACTATCATGGAAAGGAAAAAAATAAAAACTATCAACTATTATTTAAAATTCATTTAACTACAGCACAAACTTCTGTGCCACCATCCAACGATTACGGAAACAACAAAAATTTATTTAATTTCTATTTTAATAAAATAAGAAAGAACTTATTCAGTGGGATTAATTAATTATAATGACAAATTTTAGACCAAAATAGACAAAAAAATTAAGATGGAAACATTGAAAATATTTAAAGAACTGACAAATAAAAAAAAGAAAAATAATTTTTCCCTACTATTTTAAGAGAAAATAATTAAAAATTAAAATATTAATTTATCTTACAGGAAATCCATTTGAAAGAATAAATAGTAACTGAAAATGAGCGTGCCTTGTGTACATTTTTATTTTTGTTTATAATTGCTGTTATGGGAATGAATGACAGGAATGTGCCAAAGACAAAAGGGAAAATTAATGAGAGAAAAATGAAAAAAGAAAATCTCGATAAGGCAAAAAATATATTTTATATTTTTTGAGATGAAAAAGGGAAAAAAGAAATTGAAATCTGAGAGGATTTTTGTTTAAAAAAGAAATTAAATATTTTTTTGATGTTTTTGTATTTAATTGGTTTTTGGTTGTTGTTATTTTAAATTTAAATAATATTTTTAAGAAAAAAATATTTATTTAAAATAATTTTTAGAAAAGGAGTAAGTAAATGCTTCTTTCTTTCCTCTCCACGCTTTTTGCATTTTTTTCATCCGCCTAATTGGAAATAAAGTAATGAAGGAATAAAATGAGGAAATAAAAGTACAAAAAATATATTTGACAGGAAAAAGCAAGAATAAGCTTAATATTTAATAAATAAATATAAATTATTTAAAAAGAAATAATCAATTAATTAATTGATATAGTTTTTTAATTAAAATATTTAGTAAATTTTCTTTAAATTAAAATGTAATTTTTAATGCAAAATGTTTTTGACATATTTATTAACAAACACCTGCCATTATACCAAATAAAATATGTACACATTAAAAAGTTTTATTTTAAATAAAAATCGAAAGGATTTTTTTATTAAACTATTTAAATGGAGTAAAACCGACAAATCCAAACCTTTTGATTCAAAATTTTGAAACTCGCCACCTCCACCCTACCCCTCAAATATCCACCTTCGAAAATGAGGGAGAGAAAAATAAGCAAAAAATTAAAGAGGATTATTAAAAAAGAAAGGAAAGGGATTCTTTTACGTAATTTTTAATGACGAAAGCGAAAATAGATGACTATTAAAAATTAATTTAAAATTATTTGTAAAAAAATTTCTGCAAAAAAAGGAAATCTTAATTTATTTTTTCTAACTAAAATTACATAATTATATAAAAATTAAAAAAAAACATAAAACTCAAATTTTCTGTTTTAGTTAACCAATACATATTTTTTCCATTTCAATAAACAATTATTTTTTTCAAAATTTATTTAAAAGAAAAATAATATTTAAGGTCATTTTAAGCATTGAAATGAAATGAAAAAGAAAAGAAAAAATTAACTTTAAAATAAAAAGTTTGTTTTTACACTAATTGAGAAAAAAAGGAAGGAAAGGGAAGGAAAGAAGATGTTTTTATAAAAAATTTTAAAAATTTTATTTTCCAAAAGATTTACTACTATTAAATTCTTCAATTAATTTTCTACAACTATAGCAACATTGTAATTTAATTTTAGGTTGGTCACATCTAAATTATTTATTTATTTTAAATATCACAAAAACAACAAACGTCTGAAATAAACGAAGAATATCGCAAAAACGGCTTTGATCTTCACATAAACGTAAAGGCAATAAAGCTTTAATTAAAATTAATTAAATTAATTATTGTTAATTCAAAATTACATTTTTGTTGTTTTTCCTTTTCTTCTTCTCTTTCTTCATTTTCTTCTCCCTCCTCTCCCTCATTTTTATTTATTCCACCACATTCAGGTAATTTTCTTTTAAACAAACAGGCCCTTATAGCTATTGGCCTTTTTGTTTGGTTACAATTTTGCCCTGCAGGTTTCTTAGTTCCTCTCCAAACACAACGTAAAAGTCTCATTTGAACACCTCCATCCCCACATTGTTTACTACATTTACCCCAAACAGAAGGACGCCAATCAGCCGAACAATTTACTTTTTAAATTAGATTTAATTAATTAATCTATCTATTTATCTACCAACCATTTTGACATTCCCTTTTTAATTTTGGACGAGTTTTTCTCGAACAAAGCATTGGATTAGCTTCTGTTTTATTTCCAAAAACACATTTTATCTAATAAAAATTTATTTATTTATTTCTCCCTCCTTCCCCCCCCCCCCCCTCAAAAATTACTTCTCTTCTTTGTAATGCTGTCCATTGTTTAACACACCTAGAAGAATTACATTCACTCCATTTTCCAATCTCCCACCGAGCACATTTTGTATCAATACATTCTTTACTAATTAAAGGGCGTATAGCCCCAAAACTTTCACAAATATTTAAATCCTCTAAATTTGCAGATTCATTTCCAAAAAATATTTTACAAAAAATTTGACGAGTCTGGATTTAATTTCAATTTAAAAATTAAATTAAATAAATAAGCTACTTGTATTCCTTCCAAACAATTTAAATGTTCACACTCCCCCCAATCGGAAACAACAAATTCAACACGAATTTGGCTTGGATCTTTAGTTGCAGAGGCTATTCTCTCATAAAAAGAATATTGCCCATTATTATATAAAGAATTACGAATTCTCTTTAAATTTTAAATAATTAATTTTAATCTCTCATCAACAAACTTGAAGTAATTTTTTCTTTTTTGTTGCCTTCTTTTTATTATTTTTTGTTTTATTATTTTCATTTTCTTTGTCCGGTTTAAATTTAAGTGTTACATTCCCCAATTGTTCATTTTCATTATTATAACAAGCATAAATACCCGCATCGTGTTGACGTGAATTAAAAATTCTGAGAGCCCCGTTTTGGGATATTTTTAGACGAGCTTTTTTATTAAAGAAGAAATAATCTTTTTAAATATTTTTAAACTTACAACTTTGTAAAAGAGGGCGCCCATTAACTGTCCAAATAATTTTTCTTTTATTACCGCCATTCTTTACTGGGCATTTTACTTTTACAGAAGTACTTTAAATAAAGATTTTTAAATTAATTTTCTTTTTCAATTACCCTTCATATAAATTAGCAATCCCCCCAATTTGTAAAGTTAATTTTCTTGGATATTTATTTTTATTAACTTCCCCTTCCTCCTCTTCCTCTATATTTCCTTCTTCTTCTCCCTCCTCCTCTTCTTCTTCATTTTCAATATCACCCAAAGGTTGGTCTTTCGCTGATTTTTCTTTAATAAAAGGTTCAGAATAAATAAAAGGAACTAAATTATTTGGAGAAGAATTTTGTATATTTTCTTTATTTTCATCAATATCCAATGGAGAACAATTAACTAAATAAAAATATTTTTTATTTCATTTATTTAATTAATTACCTAAATTACTACAATTTTTAGTAATTATCGGTCTTTCACTATTTGTTGCTAAAATACATTCTTCTATTGCTTTCTCCTCTATTTTTCCAAAAGAGTCCCTTTGTATACATGAAAGTGAACGTTGTTGTTCACCAAATCCACAATTTGTTGAACATTGACTCTTTAAATTATTTTTTTTTTAATTTTTTTCTAATTTATTTTTACCCAATTTCCAACACTCCATTCAGGTGCACAATCAACCATTCCACAAGGCTCTTCATCCCCAGGCTTTTCCCCAGGGCATTGTATATCAGGCAACAAAAGTGTTGTTTCCGGTCCTTTCCTTGCAATTAACTGAATACATCTTACTTGACGAGTTCGGAGTCCCCCACCACAAGAATGTGAACAAACAGACCAATCAGAAATCTTTTTTTTAATTAAAAAATATTCCTTTTTTTAAAAAAACAAACATCCCAATTAGGAGGACAAGGTTGTTGATTACATTGACGAATTAACTCTTCTGGTCTTTTACCATCATTAATTGTCTCGTTTTCACATTTAGAATAAGGAACTGGTTTTCCACTAGATAATTCAATACAAAGTAATGGTAATTTTTGATGACCTTAAGGAGTAGAAAAAATAATTACCTATATTTCGATAAACAATTTAAAGGTTACAGTTTTAAAGTTTCAGAAATATTTTAAATAACCCCCTTCCCATATTTAATGTTATCTTTTTTATTCTTCCCTTTCTTTAAAAATATTTTTTTCTTAAAAAACTTTATTTTACCCCCTAAACAAGATGCCGAACAAACAGTCCATCTGCCATGCTTCCATCGATAAACATTTGGTTTAGGAGCAGTCGATGTTAAGTCCAATAAAGATGAGGGGGAGATTGAAGGTTTGCCGTTTTTGTGTGAAACAACAGGAGGGCAGGGCTTAAGTTGGCAGTGACGAAATTGAATTGGGCGAGATTGTCCTGAATTAAATGTTTAATTATTGCTATAAAAACATTTAATGTTTATTTATTTATTTTAATTTCCACCAAAATTGTTATCAAAAAATGTTGTTACTTCTCAACAATTTTTGTTTATTTTTAACAACAATTATTTTCTTTACATTTTCAACTATTTCTTTGTGTTGTAGGGTAATTTTTATAATTTAATTTTTTTTTAATTTTCCAAATATTTTTTAGAAAAAGAGAAAGTTAAATAAAGCACCAACATCAAAACAAACAAGGGCTGACGTGAGAAATGAAAATACAAGATTCTTTAAAAGTAAAAAACCTTCCTTTAATTTAAAAATTAAATTCTTTCTTTTTTTTGAAGAATGGCCTGAAGAACATGTAAATCCGGATAAAGTTGGGTATGATACACTTTCTGGTATAAACAAAGAAGAAGTATTTCCAATCCGAACAGAAAGAGATTATCAACAAAAACTCCCCCCAACAAAATCTTTGGCAACCTCCAAATCCTCAATTTGGATTGCAACAAGAAGTTATTATGGGGATGAAGAGGAAGAAAAAACAAAAAATGATAACCATTCTACTTATATTAAAAAAGAACAATCACCAAAAACACGTTTAGGAAAGAAGAAAAAGAAAAAAACAAAAGAAAACAAAAAAGAAGAAAAATTGGCAAAAATTAAGAAAAAGAGAAGAAAAGATAAAGATTAAATTGAGAATTATCTCTCAGTGGAATTTAGCAGAAAATATTTTGATTTTATGTAAAATATTATTAAAAATTGTTTTGTTATTTTCTTTTAGTAGGTATAAAATTATTAAAGAACGTTTCTTCTTTATTTTCTGATTTTTTGTTAAATTTTTAATAAATTAAATATTTTTTAAATTTACCCTGACATTCATAATCAGTTAATTTAATCTGTTTTGCCATACACTCAACTTGTCTAGATCTAATACCAGGTCCACAACTTGTTGAACATTCACTCCACCCACCAACATAAAATCTTTAATATTTATTTTAATTTTTTTCAAATTCCCCCTACCTCGGTTTATTCCCATTTTTCTCATTTATTTCACTTTCTTCTTCTTCCCTTTCTTCAGAATAACTTGTTATTCTTTGTTGTTCTTCAATTAATCTAAAAATTAAAATTTAAAGAGACATTAGATCCCAATTAATTTTAATAAATCCCCCCTCCTTTTACCCATTATTATTTGCATAATTCTTATTTATATTTTGCTTTTTTGGTTCTTTTATATAATTTTCACTGTGCCGATGTCTCCAATCATTTTGTGATGATAAAATTGGGAAAATAAATAAAATAAATAAATAATAATTAAACATTTTTTAATTATTAAACTTTAAAAATATAAAAATAAAAGTACTTGGAGAAGAATAAAAGATTTAAAATAAATAAAAGATGAAGAGTGTTATGGAAAAAAAGATTGAGTGTTTTTGCCATTAATGGAAAAATTAAAAATCCTATATATAATTTTAGAATTGTTGTCTGTTTGTTTGTCCGCAGCTTTGAATTTCGCTGTGTTTGGCGTTGTGTTTATTTTTAATTAAAAATGACAAAATATCCCAAAGTGAAAATAGTGTGTAGTTAGAGAAGTAAAGAAAGAATGTAAATTTTTTAGAATTTGTTTTGTATTTTTTAGAATTTTTTTTTGTATTTTTTAGAATTTTTTTTGTATTTTTTAGAATTTGTTTTGTATTTTTTTTAAAATTTCTAAAGTTTTTTGGTTGTTAATTATATTTAAGGTGTGTTTTGATTGTTTTTTTTGTTTTGTTTTTTAAAAGTTGGTTTATTTAAAATTTGTTTTTAGGTTCAAAAAATCTGATTTTTATTTAAACAACGCGATTTCAAACCGTTGGTTTTTTGTGCGGATCTTTTTATTTAAACAACGCATTATCCAACCGTTGGTTTTTTGTGAGTTTTTTTAATTTAATTATAGTTAGGTTTTAGTTTTTGTGTTTGACAGTGTGATACTAAATAATTGAAATTACTAGAGTTTGACATTGTGTGATACTAAATAGACGAAATTACTAGAGTTTGACATTGTGTGATACTAAATAGACGAAATTACTAGAGTTTGACATTGTGTGATACTAAATAGACGAAATTACTAGAGTTTGACATTGTGTGATACTAAATAGCTTATAATGATAGTACTAGCAAGGTTGACATAGTGTGATGCTAAATAGACGAAATTACTAGAGTTTGACATTGTGTGATACTAAATAGACGAAATTACTAGAGTTTGACATTGTGTGATACTAAATAGACGAAATTACTAGAGTTTGACATTGTGTGATACTAAATAGCTTATAATGATAGTACTAGCAAGGTTGACATAGTGTGATGCTAAATAGACGAAATTACTAGAGTTTGACATTGTGTGATACTAAATAGACGAAATTACTAGAGTTTGACATTGTGTGATACTAAATAGCTTATAATTGATAGTACTAGCAAGGTTGACATAGTGTGATGCTAAATAGTTGATAGTCCTAGAGTTTGACATTGTGTGACACTAAATAGTTGAGAGTACTAGAGTGACTAACAGTTGTAGTATAACAGTTGTAGTATATATAGTAAAAAAGTTCTTTTACTATTAACTATTAACTGACAGTTGTAGTATATATAGTAAAAAGTTCTTTTACTATTAACTATTAACTAGCAGTTGTAGTATATATAGTAAAAAAGTTCTTTTACTATTAACTATTAAAGTAGAGTAGTATTAAAGTAGAGTACTAGAGTTTGACATTGTGTGATACTAAATAGCTTATAATTGATAGTACTAGCAAGGTTGACATAGTGTGATGCTAAATAGTTGATAGTCCTAGAGTTTGACATTGTGTGACACTAAATAGTTGAGAGTACTAGAGTGACTAACAGTTGTAGTATAACAGTTGTAGTATATATAGTAAAAAAGTTCTTTTACTATTAACTATTAACTATTAACTAACAGTTGTAGTATATATAGTAAAAAGTTCTTTTACTATTAACTATTAACTAACAGTTGTAGTATATATAGTAAAAAAGTTCTTTTACTATTAACTATTAACTAAAAGTTGTAGTATATGTAGTAAAAAAGTTCTTTTACTATTAATTATTAACTAACAGTAGTATATATAGTAAAAAAGCTATAGTATATAGTAAAGAAATTATAAAAAGTATATAGTAAAATAGTTAATAGTTAAAAATTAATAGTTGATGATTAATAGTTAATAGCTGAAATTCAAAGTTGAAAATCTTGGTTATCAGTTGATGAGTTAATAGTTGATAGTTAATAATTAATAGTTGATTCATTCTTTAAATTTTAGTCTTATTAAATAAAAATGAGAGGCAATATAAGAATTGTATTGGATGATATTGACGATATCCCTTCAACCAGTCAAAACAATGCTCAAAATAATTTTGATGATATGCAAAGAGAAAATCTGGAAAGAAGAAATCAAAGACTTGATAAAGATAGAGAACGCAAAAGAAAGAATCGTGAAAACGAATCACAACAACAAAGAATGGAACGGTTAGAACAACAAATGATTAGGCAGAAAATCAGAAGAGAAAATGAGGATGAAGAGGAAACTGATCAACGATTGGAACAACAAAGGATTAGGCAAAGAATTAGAATAGAAAATGAAGATGAAGAGGAGACTGGCCAAAGATTGGAACAAGATATGATTAGAAAGCGGATTAGAAGAGAAAATGAATTGGATGAAGAAAGAGATATGAGATTAGATCAAAGAAACCTTAGATATAGAAATAGAATTAGAGATGAGATCCGGTTGTTCGCAGCCGGTGATCATAGAAATGTGATTGTGAATAGACTCGGAAGGATGAATGTTGAGTGTACCCACTGTGGTGCACTACATTTTCCGGAAGAGAAGATTGGAAATAAAGGAAATTCCTTTAATAATTGTTGCCATCATGGCAAAGTGAATTTGAATTTGATACCAGAAAGCAATTTTCCAGTTTTACTGAAAAATTTGTTTTTGAGAATTGATACAAGATACAAGAACTTTTTTGATTGTATTAGAAATTTGAATAGTAGCGTTTCCATGGCTTCCATGAATCCGCTTAGATATAGATATCCAAGTAATAGAGGCCCATATTGCTTTCGCATATGTGGTCAGATTTATCATAAATTGAACTTAGCATTGAATCCAGACGATGGAGACGAGCCTGCTTATGGGCAAGTCTTTATTGTTGATACAGAAGAAGCGCTTAGTGCAATGAATAGAGCAAACCCTGTCATAAACCAGAGTTTGTTAAAAAATGTTTATGAATTGATAAAAGACATCAACCCGTTTGCGCAAGCATACGTAATGATGAAAGAAGAAGAAGACATAGAAAAAGAAAGAGCTAGACTTGAAAATAGACCTCCTGTCGAGGTTAGTCTTTTGTTTGATACAAAAACTAACTTAGACAGGAGATTAGGGTACAATGTACCAAGAGCTAACGAAGTAGCAGCAGTTTATGTGCCTGGAGCAGATGGCGAAATGCCTAATGCTAAGATTGTAGTACGAGAAAAAGGAAAAGAACTTAGAATTCTGGATAATACTAACCAGTTAGTATCACCCATGACATACCCGCTGTTTTTTCCGCGTGGTACGTTAGGGTGGCATCCAGATATTAGACAAGAAAATAGTATTAGAAGAGTGACTAGACTTCAGTATGTTAGTTATAGTATTGGAGTTAGGAATGAGTTTAACCCCATTCTTTATGGGGGAAAACTCTTTCAACAGTATTGTGTTAATGAATATGTCAAGATTGAGAGTGATAGAATGAGATGGATTAGAGGTAACCAGAAAACGATCTTGGCTGATGCCTATAAGAACGTTGACAGTTACTTAGAAAAAAGGGCGAGAGAAACTGGGAAGCCGTTGGGGCGTAAAGTTATTTTGCCTCCGACGGTGACCAACTCGCCAAGATATATAGAAAAGCACTTCCAGGATGCAATGTCATTAGTGCGAAAGTTCGGGAAACCGGATCTTTTTGTCACTATGACTTGCAATTCGCAATGGGAGGAGATTAAAGAGAATTTGTATGAAGGACAAGTGCCTTCAGATAGACCTGATATAGTAGATAGAGTATTCTATCTAAAAGTTAAAGCATTGATGAAAGAGATAACTAAGGCCAAAATTTTTGGCAGAGATATTTGTTGGATGTATCCGGTAGAGAACCAAGGACGGGGACTACCGCACATCCATTTGCTTTTGACTTTGCTTGATAAAGTAACAAGTTCTCAAGATGTTGAGAATAGAGGAATTAGTGCTAGACTACCTGACAAAGACAAAGATAATGAATTGTTTGAATTAGTCAAAAAGTTTATGATCCATGGACCATGTGGTGATTTGAATCCAAATTGCCCATGCATGGAAGAGAAAATAGTGAATGGAAAAAAGATAAAAAGTTGTTCAAAGGGTTATCCCAAACCCTTTCAACAAGAGACTTTAGTATTAGATAATGGTTTAGCATTATATGCGAGACCTAAAGATGGAAGAACTGTTGAAATTTCTGCAGCAGGAAAGAGACATGAACTTGATAATAGATGGGTTGTTCCACACAACCCTTATTTGTTAAAGATGTTTAATTGCCACATTAATGTGGAGAAAGTGAATAGTGTGACCTCTGTGAAATATTTGCATAAATATGTTCACAAGTTACCTGATAGAGCTACAATGAATTATGAAGAGAAAAATGATT